CATAATCGAATTTTCGAAACGAAAAGCCAGGAATCCAGCACCCTGCTCTTTTTTGTCTGTTCGAAGCACAAACATTTACCATTTCTTTTTCCTCCTCCACTTCTTTCATTACACTATCCATGCCCTCCATTGGTTTCACTTCACCACCGGCCATTTCTTTCAAGAATCCCGCCAACTCTTCCGTACCAATTTCTGCTTTCTTCACTTGAGGCCTCAACCTAGAACAGACAAGATAAAGCGGCACAGCAAATTATGCGTTAAGCAATTTAAGCGATCCACCTGCTTCTTCTAGATTGTCGATGCGTAACATCAATGTAGCAACAGGACCGCCAGGATCAATCACTTCGGTAACTATTTTTTCAAAATAATCCGCAATAATCTGCATCCTACTGGTATTTTACCAAATGTAATTATCCATACGCAAGCACCAAATGTTCTTAAAATCGTGTGAATCACTGGTGCGAAGCCCACTCTCCGCCAGAAAAATTACCAGAATCCTCAGTATCTCGCGTTCACTTTCTGTTCAAGTTGCAAAAAACTTTTACCAGCATCTCCTGTTAAAAGGCACTAATTTCCGGTGCACGCAGACGTTAGGAGTCTTCCGTATTGATAACAACTGTCTGCTTGCACATGAAGACTATGAACTGTGTCCGGATGATACGCCGAGAGGATCGACAGATTCCAGAGGAAAGAAGCATCAGCAGATTCCAACAAAACTCCAGTTCTCAACCAAAAACGGAAAACTGTCTCATTTTGAATTGTTAGAAGCGGCCAATGTCTTGTCTCTGTTGATCCTACAGGTCCCCTTGGTCCTCCCTTTCTATCGCCTGACTCAGTGTTCAGCATCCAAACGCAAACAGTAACCATAGGCGGATCCAGGACGGAGCCCTGGGAGGGTAGACCAACGGGGCGGGAGGAGGGGAGTGGCGGGGAGAGACGAATTTTCGCTGTCCTTCCCCAATTCTGGAACTATGCAAAGATCAGGAAGAGAGCTGTAACAATGCTACCTAGCATTGCTTAATTTTTATTTATGAACAGACCCTGGTTTCTGCAGCAGAAAGAGCCTTTCTCCACTCTCCCCTCCCTCCTCCTGGACCCGGTTATGGGCGTAACAGAAATCCTTCTATGCTGAGTTGTATGCCTTTTCCAGTCTGTACTCTTCAAGTGCACTTACTTCTTTTTAACATCCATTGCCGCCTTTACAACTGGCGACTGAGTGGTTTTGGCGGTTGGCGGTTGCCCCATCAAACGACGTCTCTTAATGTCGTGGTGCGAGAGGCGATATCGTGGTACATCACCGGGTTTTGCCGTTGGAGCTGCGCCCGCAGCTGAAAAACGAACTGCCGACGAGACAATCTCCGGACTTGTATCTGCCGACGACGAATTATCGGCAAGCCGGGTTTCTGGTGGTGGGCTTGTACACGTCGGCTTACTGTCGTCCACTCCATCGTCGCTCGAGATTCGACGCCTCTGAATTATGAGCAATTCGCAGTAATGCAAGCAATAATTCATTGATCTTTCACAAGCAATGCTCCACAGGCGATCGAGTGTGACGGGATTATGATCTGCTAAAACTTCACTCGAAATATGAAAATGAAAAAAAAAACGAAACCAAAACGGGATACCTTTTCTGCAGCTTTCTTTTTCAGCTCAGTTCCTTCAGCATCACTGCCAGAGTCACCGTCAGCGAACTTGGATTTGAATTCCAGCTTACCCCTATTCACATAAAAACCACCTCGCATAGTATCCAGCGCTGAGGGCACATGCTCATCATACTGAAAATATTAACACACACTCGTCGACTGTTGAGTAGTTCAGTTCGGGCATTTCGAATTTGCTCATCATAAAAAAAGCACCTGAGAAAAGTCCCCCTTCACCGCTGGGGCCCTCCCGCACCGCCTGCGCAACTGTTCCTACATTTGGATCGTGCCCCGGTTAAGAAGCAGTTTTCATTTCGTATGGTACGCCAGCTTTCAGAGGACCGGATGGAGCATGTACAGTGCAACTCACGATGCAGCTTGGCCTGGATATTCGACTTTTGTTTTTTTTTTTTCCTGTTCCCTTCTGCCCAGCAAGAAGACCCACTCCACATCCACCTGCATTGCTTCTTCCCAAGTATCCGCTGCTTTGGACTACATCGACCTAGGAGCAATGTGCGCTCTCTCATCCACTTCATTCCCACGGATTTGGAGAAAACTCTTCTTCGCAATGACCATAAACTCAGCTGCACGTACTGTGCATTCCATATTTGATGGTGAATTAAAAATCTCAGAAATTTGAAGAAAAAAAAATTTTTTTAAATATTACTGGGCCTAATGCGACCTCGAATCCTGTAATCGAGTATTCCAGGTTGTTGGCCGAACAATGAGCGCAGCTGAGAGAGAGAGCGCGGCGTTCCACAAATTCCAAAAAACGAGGTGCTAATTCGCTACAGTTATTAGTTTGAGCGAAAATGAGAGATTTTACCGCTTCAGCATCATCAATGAACGGGTCCGTGAGATCGTAGCCCAGTGTCTTGTCCATGTAATCGTCGGCACAGCCAAAGCGAAATTTCCGCCCGTGCTTATCTCTCTTGTCGCCCTAAAAAAAGGAAAACCCCAAGATGTGCAGCGCTGTGGCAGAAACAGAGCAGCACGAACATCATCAAGCACGTACATATTTTTGCTCCAGACGTCGCACCAGGTTCTCGGCTTCGCGATCGTGAAAGCGCTCATCCTCACCGCTCGATTCGTCCTCCTTCTGCAAGAAAAGACAACAGCAGCTTCGCAGAGCAGCCAGTAAAATGGCACAGGCACAAGCACAGGGAATTTATGTAAAGTGGCGCAACCTACCAGATATTCGCGACATATCTTCTCGTAGTCGAACTCCGGATAGGAACGCTTGGTCGGCTTGAACAAATCCAACGTGATAATGCTGTATTTTTTGTTGACATGACGCTGCTGCTGCTTCCTCTTGCGGCCACCCAGCTCCAGATCCTCATCCATCCAGCGCCTGGAAACCAAGAAATCACATCACCGCGACAGCGAAACGC